CATTAAGTTTTGGATCCTTTAGTGGTGCAGATTGGGCGCTCGGACCGTTACTGGGCTTTCTTCCCCGTGCCGTTCTTGTCCGCAGAGTTTGTTGAGGTTACCAAGTTCACCGGCCCGTCTGAGTGCATTGAATCTTTGCGTGGTGGCATGCGCTCGTTGATGCGATCCAGCCCTCTGGCTTCTTCGAAGCTGCGGATCTTGTGCTGCGGCGAAAATCCACGAATGGCTGCGGAGAGAGAAGGGCCGAGAAAAAGAAGCGTTAGCCTGGGGTGCGGATCCCCGGGTGGGAGCCCTTCAGCACACGCCAGACACGTACAGGACAGAGTCCTGGCGACAGAAAGCACACGTCTGGCTCCAGGAACCACGGGAGGGGCCCGGGGGGGTGAGTTTTGGGTAGCACAGCGCAGCCGGGAAGTCAAACCGCGCTCGGTCACGGCAGCAAAACCCAGACCGCAGTGTCTGCTCCCTAATGGATTCTCTTTTAATACGCTTTAGTAGCAGGAACTTGAAGACCAGACAAGTGCTCAATGTCCCCAAGACAGTGAAATCTCAGGAAACTCTCAAAGCTGAAAAAACACCATACTTAAAAAAAAAAAAAAAAAGGCAAAACCAAAACCACACGACAAAGACACCACCACAAGGCTTTAACTCCAACACAAACCACACGCTGCAACACCAGGAGTGGGAAACAGCTTGTCCTCGGATCACAAACACAACTCTTCTTGCATGACCAGGAGACACCCGGGCAGGCTCACGAGTGATGAAATCCCACCAAGCGCGGGCGTATCTCCGTTTCATCGCTCCGAGGCTGAGGGCATCATCCTCGCAGGGATGATAGGGACCAAATGTTTAACTTTGTATTACAGATAAGTTAAGGAAAAAGGGGTTTGTGCCAAATCTTTTTGCAAGGACTTGGCTGGTTTACAAACAAACTTCCCTTGGCAATCAGAAAGTTCTCTACGCAGAGGTACGGCCCCATTTGTCGGCAGCTGAATGGAGCTATTGAGGAGAAAACCTCCCCAGCCCGTAACCTCGTGAATCAGTCACTTCTACACGAACTACAGGGAGAAAACTGCCTCTCCACACTGGGACCACCTCGGCCCACCTGCGGGGAAGGCCAGGATTACATCAGAGCCGCGCAATCCGTTATTTTCTAGATGCTTTTGACCAAGCGTGCCGGCAGCCTTTTCCAGATTGAGTGACCCAGGGGACGGACTCAGCCACGAGGCAGCCGAGCCCAGATTGCAGGACCCCAACACTGAGGTCTTGAGACACCAGAGCGCAAGCTGCTCCAGAGAGAGGGCACTCTTGGAATAAAGGTACTGCACGAAGCAATAGCCTCATTAAGGCTAAAATAGACATGAACCAGCCCACTGTGTATTTTTTGCTTCCCAGCAGGGGCCCATCCTCCCCCACTTCTGGTGATGCAAGAGTAAAAAGCTTCCATAAGGCTGATAAAGCTCTTTAAAATTAGCGCACGCACACACAGAGATGATTTGAGTCTCTCGCCGGATTCTAGCCATACCTTCCCGTGCCTCTACCGCTTCTACTGTGGCTGCAATACAGAAGAACAGTGGCATGCAAAAATGAAGACAGGAGAAAAAAAAAAAAAAAAAAAAAAAAAAAAAAAAAAAAGAGTGACAGTGAGTGATCTAACATCATCGCTGTGAACGCAGAGCCCACAGCCTCCCCGCCCCAGTGGAGACGACCGTAATCAAAACCAACCGGCAAGAGGAAAAAAAAGGTGACAGGAGCTTGAGAGGAAAGGCTGAAAGGGGACTCCCTCGGGTTTAGCGCCTGCTGAGCACTGACACGGGGGAGTCTCCTTTCCTCATGTCCACTGGACTCGTCACACAGATAAATCCGATGGAAAGAAACAGAGAAGCGGAGAGATGGCTTTCTGCTGCAGGCACCGGAGGGCTCGGGCACGCTGGCAGCCCACGGCAAGGACAGTGATAGTCTTGGACTGAGCCGTGGGTCTCCACCTGCATTTAGACCCCCCCCCCAGCTCCCAGTTTGGTGGGACAAGGGCGCCCTGGCCACCTTCAGAAGGTAAATAATGTGGAATTCACCCCAAAGCAAAGCCCCGACCACCAGTAAGGGAAGTGACCCCGAGGGACGGGATGAGTTTGGAGCAGTGGGGAAGAGAGGGGCGGTTTGCCCTCTGGGGGAGGGCAGGCACCAGCAGATTCCAGGTTGCTCTGCTCCCAGTGCCTTGAATTATATATATTAAAAAAAAAAAAAAAAGAAAAAAAAAAAAAAAAAGGCTGATGCTTCAAATTCAGTTTGGCTTCAGCTCCACCTCCTAAAAGTGTTACCAAGCAACAAGGCACCATAAAGCTGAGCAACGTCCCCCTTCTTAAATCTGCTGCAGCAGCTGCCCAAGTTTTGGTAGTCCCTGCCTCAACATCTGGGAGGAGGTCCTTCCCTAGAACAGATCCCCTGCTTTTAGCCTCAAAACGCCAGAGGATTTTTTGCTTTGGACATAATACAAAGGCCATGTGGTCCTGGAGGGGCCACGGAGGAAGAATGGAATTGTGGCTGAACATTTTTGCTCCGCATTTACTCAGCTGACTTCGCTAAGCTGTGCTGCCAAAGGTTGGCAGGAGGCTCAGGGAAGGAAGGGGCCCTGCTGCTGCTACCTGCAGCATTGCTGCTCTTCTTTCGGGGTGCAGAGGCACCCCAAAAGGCGGGGGGGGAGGGAAGCAGCCCCCCCCCCCCCCTCCTCACGGAGCAGACGGGCTCCCAGCACACCAGGAGGCTGCCGCGAGCAGACGGCACGGCGCAAAGGGACGTGCAGAATGGGAAGGGGTGAGGGAAGGAGGCACGGCGGGGAAAGGAGGGTGAGAAGGGCAGGAGAAGCGGGGTGCTGCTGAGGGGAGCACGGGGTGCCAAGAGCAGCAGGGGCGGGAAGCCTGCAGCCACGGGAGGAGGTGCCAGGCAGGGTCAGGTAAGGCAGCAGCAGCAACGGTCTAGCTTGGTTGTCCCGTCTTGGGGAAAACGCACAAATGTCAGCTTTTTTACTGGGGGGGGGGGGGGGGAAGCTGCCCAGTAGCCCCCTCAGAGGACACCCCGAGAGGGGAAGGTGCAGGAGAGCGTGGCAGGATGCTGTCAGCTCTGGGGGGCAAAGCTGAGGCACCACGAGCGAGCTGCCTGCTCGAGCCGAGCTGCAGCAGCCGCCTTCCCACTCAGGCTCTGTTCCCATGCCTGCAGCAGAACTGGGGCGACAGAAACCATTACGGCTGCTATAAAAAAAGGGGGGGGAAAAAAAAAAATGAAAAAAAAAAAAAAAATCATACTTCTCTGCAGGCAGAGAAACCTATGGGTTTGGGAGCAATACCACATCCTCCCCAGCCCCAGGAGCGGGCAGCAATATTTACACATTTTTCACTTGTGAACTATTTAATCAAGGCAAGGCAATCCCCGAACAAGCCCTCGTCTGAGCCTGCAGGAAATTACCCAGCGCTGATAGGAAGGGGAAAGCAGGCTGGTGAGATGCCAGCATTCAAAGGCCGGCGGTAGGAAAGGATTAAAACACTAGATTACAGGATTCCCTCTAGGGACACATGTTACTATGATAACTCATTCCCTGACCATCAGCCAATTTCCCTGCCCTGCGAGTTTAAAGCACGCAGATTGCCCGCTCAGTCCTGCTCTCAGCACACTAATAAAGACCAGTTAGCTGCTGAGGGAGGGAGCAAAGGCCAGCAAGAGCAGAAAAGAAACCTCCAAAATCAGATCAAAACCAGGGAGCTGAGAGAAGTCTTAGTATGAACCACAAAGGCCTGGAAGAATCGCCCTCTTTCAACTACATCTAAGCTGCCTCCGCTTGGGATTCACAGTTTCATAGGGTCAAAATTGGAGGGGTTTTGTTTAACGAAGGACAAGCAAGCAGGTGTGTTTACTGTTACATTCATATATATATATATGTTATCACATAACAGCAGCAGATAGTTGAAGCAGAGGATGCTTATCATGCAGCATTAGCAGGGAAAAAAATGATAAAAATTGTCGCAGAAACATATAATAAAGCAACACACATGCTTCAGGCGAGGTGCTGTTTGTTGTCTTTTTTTTCCTTGCGTTCCCCTCCTCGAGGGTATACAGGGACGTCTTGGAAGCCTCTCCACATCCCCACCTACATTTCTGCTTTTTCCTATTTCTGAATCTTTCCTCCCCGTGGGCCTGAACCATCTCTCGGGTCCCCTGGCACCCTGAAGCACGCCTACGGGAACTGATCAAACTTTTTTTTTTTTTTTTTTTTTTTTGGGGCAGCTGAGGGCCAGGTATAAAGCTGCAAAGGGGGTGCAGTGTTGCGGAGGGGAGGATCATTCGTACTCACCGGTCTGCAGGGTCTGCCTCCCCCCTGAGAGCACTCCCAGGGGCAGTGTACCTGTGGGAGTCAGGCCTTTGAGAGTCAGCACGCTCTCGCTCTCCTCTCTGCAAATAAGAGGGAACACAACCAGTTACCGAGGGATGAACGCAGCGGTCGTTTAGGTCCACGTGAGACTGAGTGAAGGGAGGCAGGAAAAGCGGAGTCTGCCCCAGGCTGATCACAGCCTGATCTTCTGGGCACCCAGCGCAACCCTGCCTCGTAAATACGGCATCTCTGCTCGCTCTGCCACGGGGCATCAGAGCTACGGCGCAGCAAACGCATCCTGAAAGGGCTAAACAGACCTCAGCAGCAGCATTTCTGCTGGCAAAGGTGCTGGTGCTTGAGGTGGAGGTTTCTGAGAGAGTCAGACCGCCAGGCATACAGAAACCTCGAGCCTCTGCCATCTGCTCTGAAGCAAGAGCCTCCTCAGATTTTTCCCCAAGAGGACTCCGCCTGTCTGGTGCACCCTGACCGACGTCCCCTGTTATCCAGACCCCAAATGAAACCCAGACCCCAGACCACACGCTGTTTCCTTACCGAAGAACCGAGAAGACACGTGCCATCTTCCCAATGGCTCTAATCTTATTCCTGATGATCTCTTTACGGACTGTTGTCCCACCTTAGGGAGAGAAAAAAACAAACACCAGCATGTCCAAGGTTTCCTGCTTTCCAGGCACAGGTAACGTCAATATGAAGCACCTGCCTGACTCCAGGAAAAGAAATCATGGTTTACAGATTCACAGCTACGCTCTTGAGAGAACAGTGCTGAGAGGATGGCGGTCGGGATGGCAGTGAGAAGGGCAACACCAACGAGATGACACACGGACTTAAAGGTCTAAAGAGAGTAGAACCACCAAAGGAAACGGATCGGGTAGGTCTCGTTCGAAGCTCACCAGGTTTGATCACACTACACAGGATGTAACACAAATGACTCAGCCATGTAGACACAGTTTTGCAAGGCAGAACACTGACGAATCTGACTGCGGATGAACACTGCAGACACCGGGCTGTGCTCGCCGCGGGGAGGAGTGTCAACACAAGCATCAGCTTTGGCATCCAACGCGCACAGTGAACGGCTGGCCGGAGCCTTGCAACTCTGCTTTGACCCCACACAAACACAAAGTGAGATATGTGAACTCCCCTTCCGCTATACAGACCGAACAGGAGAGAAAAGCATGGAGGGTAACTGAAAACGAAACAACAAAAAAAAAAAATCAAAGTAAAAGAGGTAACAAATACATCTCCTCTCAGCTGAGATTCCTCACATGGCCCAACTACACATTAGGACAGTACAAGCCAAACCGGAGGTCTAACATGCACCGATGGCTCAGCCATGCACTAAGTGGCTGCATTCAGAAGTCAGATAGAAACGTGACCCCGTTTCTCAAGTTCCTGGGGGAACGCAGAAGGGTTAAAAAACACACGGCGCTTATGTTAAAACTGAAAGGGGATGAAGAGACTGCCCAACTAGTCAGCTATTCAAATCCACTCCAAGGAATCTGGTGGCACAGGCAGTGAAAATTAAGCTTGTAGCAAATTCTAGCTGGGTACCTTTCTGATAGCTTGAAATGTAGTGATCTTCAGGGAGAGGAGACACCAAGAAACAAGTAGATGAAGACAGAGATAGAAGAAACAAATTTAATTTTCATGGGAGGGAGAAAGAAAAAAAAAAAAAACAAAAACGAAATGCAATGGGAGAAGCGGGTTAAAGTCTCAACCTGTTGACGGAAGCAGCGGCACCTTGTTGTACCACAACGGTGTTTGTTCTGCTTCTCTGTGGGACTGACTGTCCTCCGCCCTACACGGACCTGCACAGGCAGCTCCCCCGGCCCCCCGGGATGCCCCCCAGCCATGCTCACGGCCCCGCCGCGCGCCCCACGGCTGCGCCTCAGCTTCCTCTGGGCCACCACCTCGCTCGCCAGCAACCCCCCCCGGGTATAGAAACTGCAGATCAGCTCAGCAACTGGTTTGTCCCCTCCATGCACAGCTTAAAACCAGGGCCAAGAAACACATTCTACTTTTTCTGGGGTGACTCAAGAAGCCACTTTACTGAGGAGTTCACTGCAACAGATGACAAGACTGGGTAGATATTTTGGTGCAGAAAATTTTGAATTGGGGATAAAAAATAACCACTTGAGAAGTAGTCTCTGTAAGGAGCAGGAAACCATTCTCCAGAGTAGCTGGCAAGAAGCGTCTGTCGCAGTGAATATAATTTAATTTCTCTGTGATTGAATAGCAAAGCAAAAAAAAAAAAAAAAAAAAAAAAATTTCCTACCCAGAACTGCACAAGGGTTGGTCAAAAATGAACTGGAGAACCTGACTGGGCATCCAGCTATAAATCAGTGCTGATCACTCCTGAGCTACCATCATATACCTTCCCCACCCTCACCCCCTCACTGTTACCAGCTAGGTCGTAACAGCATTTTTTTTTTTACCTTCCAACGTCTCATCACCATCTGAAATCAACTCATCATCGGAGCATATGTTGAGGATGTTAACGAGCATTTCTGTGACTGCAAGAAGTACAGACAGGAAGATTAGAGAGGCCTGGTGCACACACTTGGCAGAGGTATTTGGAGGACGAGCTGGACAAGCAAATGATTTCAAGGTCATTTATACTCTGGAAGTGGAAGCCCAAAGACACTTTTAGCTGCATACTGCTGGTACCTCGCAGCAGTACCCAGAGCAGACGACATACTTTACACCTTCTGCCAAGGAGGTGGATGGAGTCCAAGCACATCACAGATGAAACAGACGTGGGGAGTGGGGTGCCAACATTCATGCAGAACAGCCTGGGCTCGCTGAAGGTCCCACTCCCCCACCCCGACCCGCACAACAGGCCACCTGGCTCCAAGAACATAAAATCTCGGGGAGGGGGGGAGGAAATTCAACCTTTGGTTCCTCAAAGTCAAAATAACGTTGGCACTTCAGACCTTGAAGTCATACTCCAAACGGACAACACTGGGGTGGATTTTAAACTCACTGGGAGATGTAAAAACCCTTCTGATGAAAAGGTGAGGCAAAGCCTTGGTCATATTTTAAGCTGCCTTGCCTCCTTCAGAACGAAATAAGCCTTTAAACTGAAGTGAATACTTCCTTTTTGGTGGGCCACAAGCCAACAGAAGATTTTAATTTCTCTGTTGCAAACCCAGAGCAAGAGAAATGTCTCCAAATTCTGAGGTGGGGCTACACCACCCAAGATCAGCTCCGCCAGCAAAGCAGAAAGAGCAAGGAAGGGTCGTTTTATTGGTAAAAGCTTTTTAAAACGGGTATCAACCATTATTTTCACAACGACTTTGCCCAGTAAAATATGCAGCTCTCCTTGAACCTGAGCTGCTTTCCAGTGCTATCTAGTATTAATGAGTTACAACACTCTCCCAACACATTTAACAGCCTGTGGGACAGGTTTCTAACACTCAGGGTACTATGACCAGTCACTGGGCAACTCATAACAGAAATATCTCTTACCCTTTTCCCCTACAAAAGGCAAAGACCATGTGAAGACATCCATGAAGTTTGGAAGCCAGTACGGATGAGGGGAACAGTTGAACTGCCTGATGTTCATGACATTGTTTTCATATTTCAGTACAGCAGCTATGAGAGAAAAAGGAAAGACAATACATGTCCACAGGCACTGCCAACTTCTGGGAGTTGTACCTGCACTAATGAAACTTCGTGATCAACAGGAGGTTACAGTCATGCAGACTCAAACTACCAGCTCTCCAAAATGAGAATGCCTAAGCAGTATTTTTACAATTTACCCATTACTAAAGTTTACTGTACTAGTGAAGGTCTATTTAATAAAGCTGTTAGAATTTATACAAATCAGAAGCGATGAACAGAGCCAAGATTCAAAGCGAGGGGTAAAAAAAACCCTACAGCTGAGGAAAGTTCCCCACCACACTTGTATGGTTGTAGGGGCACAGAGAAGTCAAAAGCTTGCCTATACTTGCAGCTTCTCTTTTATGGCAGCATTCATCAATAGCGCTCAGTTGTCACGTGGCTGGAAATGAAAGCATTATTCTAGGCTTTATAGCTTGACAGCTAATTGCCACAGTAATCTATTAAGTCTCCGAGTCAGAGAACCCAGCCCCTCCCAGCTCCCCAGCTGCTGCCAGTTTAGCATATAAAGCTCTTTTTCATTTCATGCATAGGAATGCAACCAGAGGAGAGGGCAGAGTGGGCAAGGCAAGGGAAGATGGAGAGGGATTTCCTAAGCACGTGAGGACAGTACTGATACCCGAACAGCAGCAGAGCCCTGGACCTTGCCAGCCTTACCCTTGTTGTTATAGACATCTAGGTAATTTGGTGCAGAGAAGATTGTGATTAATGACGGAAAGCCTGTTGTCTGGCTCTTCCTGTACATTCGGTACCTGAAAAACAGGTCAAGTGTTAAACCAGCTGGTCTTGCTAAGGAGAGCGTGAACGCAGACAGAGCCTGCTCAGCTCCCAGGCTGCAGCACTTACCCAGCATCCTGGGCTTCGTGAGCTCGGATTACAGATAACAAACTATTGTTCTGCAAAAATTCGCAAACTGCAGGATAACTGGAAAACAAAAAGCAAGTACATATTAGCACGTAGCAAAGGAGAACAGGCAGCGCACCCGTGGTCTTGGTTTCAGCAACCAGCCACTTGCAGCATCCATTCGATTTGTGTCCAGCATCCCCAAACAAGGCCGGTATGTATTACATCATTCAAAAACTAATTGCAAAGCATTCTGTTAAACAGACCCCTGGTGCCAAATCCTCCTTACCAGCTGGACTACAAGTGGTCTGTCAGCACAAATGCTCTTCTTTTAGACAGGAAAAGATTATTTCCTAGAGCTCCTGGTACTGTCCAATGCCTGAAAACCACTCAAAAGGCACCCTGCCAGCTAAAAGAAGCATCTCTGCTGTCCAATACCACAATTTCATAGAGCAACATATCCAAAGAAAGCTCAATATTACAAGAGGTGAAAAAACAAACAAGATTTTGTGCATTAGAGCCAACTAAAGACTACTTCAGAGTCAGGTGCACCGTAAAGTCCCACAGAGTGATCTGAATAGCAGTTTATCTCCCCACAGACCTGAGTGTAAGGGGAGACAAAAAGCTCTAGTCCAGAGCCCCCTAAAACACCACTTACCTGTAGAAATAAGAGCAGCCTCGAACAGTGTTGTGGGCGAAATGCTCCAACGTTTTCTCATTGCCGTAATCCTCTGATGGATCGGACCACAGCAGGTCACACATTGGACCAAAGGCTGGAGGCTCCTTAAACCTGTCTAACTGAAAAACGTACACAAAATCAGGACAATGCTGGGGAAAGCTGCAGCAGACCTACGGTGTGGACATGCAGAGCACAGGAGCCTCGGCCTGGAACTCCATGCAGGAATCAAGCAAGTCATTAACCACACTATTAATTGTAAGCTATGTGAAAGGACCACGGAGATGACTTACTTTCCTAATGTCATCTAGACACGTGATTTCTGGAGACAGCCCTCCGTGAACACACAGAAATTGCTGGTTTAAGAGGGCAGCAAGAGGAAGACAGTCAAATGTATCCATACACGCATCATACACTCGCTCCGAATACTTGATTCGACCTGGAAAGAAACGTGGGGGGCAGGGGGAGAAAGAGAGGGAAGAATTGAATTCATTTACACAACAAAGACTGCCCAGGCCGAAAGCAGAACTTTTTTTTTTTTTTATTATTTTTTAAAGGGGCAACCATTCATGCATCCAAATCTACATGATATAAGAAGCATTAAGCAAAGCTTTGGTCAGCCAAAGGGTTGATAAATAATGTCCAAGGAACCTAACTCCTACAGTGATATGGAAACTGTATGTCTATGGGCCACCACGTCAAACTTTGTAGCTGTGTATTAGTGAAAATGCTGACTTAGAAATGCCTGTTGGACATGAAGATAAAAAGGCTTCGCAGCAACGTGGTCAAGAATACTCATCTCCCTTTGAGCTATTTTCCAGAACACCTGCGCTAACATCAACATAGAAAAGAAGCTTGCCACTGTAATAGAGAACTTGGGATACTAATAAAGCCATCCCATCATTTTCCTACATTCATACTGTACCTCTAGACTCGAAGAGTCTTACCAGCCTCAGCTGCTAGGCAGATTACACATTGGGAAATGCAGCAGCTGTTTAATTTGGCACAGCAATATTACACAATCATTTAAAATAGGAATTGCTTTTTCGGCTGGACATGAGTGCTTTGAGTCAGAATTTGACCAAGATGCCTGCAGTTAAATGAATCTCCACACAGGATCTTTCAGGGCTACAAGCGATCACAATCTCTGCTGGATGCCTCATCTTAACGGAGGTGAAGAGGATGTTTCGATACATTAAACAGAGATACCATGGCCTTTCCAAAAGCAGCTTAACTTTTACAGCAAGCCTCCAAGTACATTCAGACATACCTCCCAACGCTTCCCGTTAGAACAGGAGGAAGCACGTGTCTTCTTGCACCTGCAGCCCCTTCGCAGGGCAACAATATGTTAACATAGCCAGATCTTTGAGAAAGTCCTGTTACTGCTATAAAACCCATCTCTGTCCAAAGCAAAAAAAGTGCATGAATGGAAAGGTTACCTTTCCTCCAGCTTTGCTGGAGAGATACTAACAGTTTTTTCCAGCTGCACGCTATGATACGGGGAGTGGAAAGGCACCATCTTCTGTTTTCCGAAGGGGAAAAGCACCCCATCACCTCTGGCTCTTTGGTTCAAATTGAGCCCAGCTCAACAGGAGCTCATCTACCACCACCTGATGAGTAGAGTATCCAGCAGAGCGCTGGCTGGTGTTTTCCACCTCATTTCTGAGTAAACAGATGTAAGCACCTTGGTACCCATCAGCCTTATCCTGTCCAGCAGCATCCAGAGCTGAAGGGCTAAAGACCGGACTTGTGCCTTGCCCATAACTATTTCCTGAGGTCAGGTTCTTGAGCAACTATTTCCTAATCAAGAGCTGTATGCTGCTGGTGTACACCTTCTTTATTGCTTGGAGGAATGACTGCCATCCTCAGGGGAGAGGGGTCATTCCCTGACCTTTCGTCATCGTTGGCTTAAAAATATGTAAATGCTGCACGAAACTATCTTTAACTCAACTAAAATGATCTTAAAGGTAATGATTCTCCCTAGTGCAAACACCGAGGAACAAATCCTTTATTTGCTTCCAATTGTAATCACTGATCCCAGCTGCACAATCTGGAGCTGAAAGTCATTTGGCAGTAATTATATGTTGCTGGGCCTGAAAGTCAGGGAGGGGGGGGGTGCGTGCAACTGGCTCATCAGCAAGACAGGGAAGATGTGTTCGCATTTCTTCCATCCATGCTCGTTCTTTGTAACCAGGCGGCCACATCAACATGCACTCAGTACTTCACAGCACTTAGATATTTGGGTTAGGGTTTGTTTTTTTTGTTTTTGGTTTTTTTTTTTTTTTTAGCAGGAGCTGAAACAGAAGACCGATGTATGCAGGAAAAAAAAAGATGACAGGATTTTACAGCGCCAGAGCTAACCGGTACCACTCATAGCAGGCACAAAAATTAAGACCCACACCTGGTCATAACACGCTAACGTATTTAAATCCTCCTTACATTGCTGATACTTACATTCCTGCTTAAAGGTGAAGTATTCTGTGAGGTGCCTGCACTCATGGTTCCCTCGAAGGAGGAACAATGTTTTGGGATGATTTATCTTTAAACTCCATAAATACAGCACGCACTGCAAGAAAGGGAAGGAGGAGATGGCATGTAATAAAAACCTTTTATAGGGCACTAATCATCCGTAGACTCCACTAAGTGTTTCTGGGAAGACACCCAACAAGCTGAATTCAAAGTGGAACCCTGATCGAAACCCAGCTCCATAATCGGCAGTAGATCTTATCTTGGCCAACTTCACCAGTGGGGGGAAAGCCACACTGAGCATTTCTCTATATTAGGCCTGAGTTGGAGAAGTGACAAATGAGATCGCATTCAACTGAAACCGGCTCTGGGCTGGGTGGGGGCAGCTTTTCCTTCCAGCAGAAACCAAAGCTAAAAGCACCCATTTTCAGAGCAGCAAAGCAAAACCAGCTGCGCAGCGAGATGCGCACGCCAGATGTCCCACTGCAATCGAAACCAGAGACCATCAAGTACAGCAGACAGCCATCTTGCTAGACAGTTTCAATCAAGTGCATTAAACATTAGAAAAATTAAACTCGATCTTCCCCACTGATTTCCCCCCCTCCCCGGCCCCATTTTTCTGCTTACGCTACAGTCATGTGAAGTTCAAGTTCAAAACAGGAAAAGCCTAGCCAAAAAACAAGCTTAGTAAAGCCTTCTGGCTTTGAAGCGGGCTTTCCACATCCCCTATCTGAGTAGCAACACCTGTAAAAAGATTATCCTTGATGAGGCACAGACCAAAGTCAAACTGAAACAAGCATTTTTACCAGAGTCCCAAAAATATTTCATGGTGGCTTTCCAAAAAGCCTATGTGAAGAAGGGAAGGGCTGGAAAGCAAGCGTGCTAACCCTTCTGTGCTATACGTTGTCAAGCTGACAGCTAAATCAGCTGGTATCTAGCATGGGGAAATGTTATCACATTTCCCTTGTTGATTTTGAGTGCTGGAAGGACAACCCATAATGACAGCAAGCTTGAAGATCTGGATTAAAGTCTCTAATAAGAGCTTACCCTTTAGGCTGACATGCTACGGGAGAGGCACACACTTGGAGAACGTGAACCATGAAGTCTGTCAACAGTTTTACACCTAAAAACATTGCTGATCTGGTGCACAGATCTCCATGAAACCAGCTGCTGTGGCACGGAAACAACCTCCAGAACCAAAATAAACTAGTTTCAAGTTAGTTTCCAGTACCGACACCTTAGATATCACGATATTTAAGTACTGAACCCACAAGGCAAGTATGTCAGTAGTCATTCCAGCTATGTGCAGGGATCCCTAAAACCTCAAGGAGCTGTAAAGCACCCGCCTGTGTCTAATTCAGAGTTCTGGCGCCCGAAAAAGACCGGATAGCAAATTCTGAAATTTAAAATTGAACAGAAACAGTGTCAGTGACAGGTAATTTAATCTGTGGTTAAGGCTAACAAAAATAATGTTTTATTGCATCTGTTAACAGGAAGAAATGTTCCCAACAAAACCATTTATAATTATTCTGTGATTTGAAGCTTTAACCTCCTGCGTTTGTAACCTAAATGCCACTTTTCTGGGCTAGCATGAGAACTGAAAAGTGAAAGTCACTATAAATGAACCAAACGACTTGCTAAGGACTTGAGAAAGCAACCAGCCCTGGCAGGGCTGGTTCAAACCAAAGCAGGAAAGCAGAGGTCATCAATAAGGAGGAGGGTTTGGGATGTACAGAAGGTCAGCAACTTGCAGAAGAGATATGTAAAAGTATGTTTGAAGTGTTTTTAAGTGAAATGGAAGTGAACGGAGTCACTCGGCACCACAATTGTTCCTGGACACACGGCAAGCAAACCACAGATGTCGAGAGCGAACGCCTCTGGTATGGCTGCAGTTCCCCACAGTTTGCAGCTATTTCACAAGGACGTGGGGGGCTGCCAGGTACTAGCGGGGGGTAAGGATGAGTAAAGGACCTTCAACAGCCCGCGTGAGCTCTGGAGGGGCTGGAACAAGGGAGGTTTCTACACTCACATGCCTCAGATGCTTCCTGGCGTTTTGTACAGATCCCTTTCCCAGACTTTCAAGGCACTGTGCCCAGGAATTGATTACTGCATCTTTACAATAGCCTAGTAGCAACTCTGGACAATTAAGGCTTACTAGGCTTAGATAATCCACTTCTCTCCATATTCCACCTACCTGTTTGAAGCCCGAAGCCAAGCATTCAGCCCCCCATTTGATTCCCCCCTTTCACTTGCAAGGGGAAAGCTCAGCAGGTCACAATGGGGGAACTGCAAGAGGAATTGCTACCTGGAACCCAACACGAATCAAGAAGGGCTGCTGCCAAATCTGCCCACAACAAGCCACTCCATAACCTCTCCTACCATTTACAAAACTCGGCATTGATGAGAAAGGTATAAACAGGGAGCCTGCCAGCTCTTCCTGCAGTGGGCACACAAGAAACAGCACAGCAAAACTCCTGCATCCTGGTCCCGTGTTCAGCCCACAAATCTACCTTCGCTCACACCTTACTACACTGACTGGGTCTCTTTATAATATTATTTGGGATAAAACAGTGCATTTAATCCTGGCAAGACTGCCGTACATACAATTCTGTGATTAGACAGCGATCATGTGTCCCATTGTAATTGGATTTGCAAAACTAGTCTGTCAAAGGTGTATGCCATTATCACGCCATCTTTACTGATAAATCTGCTCTTTCCATAGATTCTATTTTTGGTCATAATAATTGTTTCACTCTATAATTTAATAAAACAATTCTATTCATTGTATTCTGGCAGTTCTGGCTTCACAGACCAGCACGGTCCCTCGCTAACACGGGCACAAACCTCTCCTGTGCAAGGGCTAGGAGATGTAACTAAACGCCTGAAGGACTCTGAAGGAAGCATCTTTCCCGTCTGCAGATGAGAGAATCCTTCATCAGGATGCTGGCTCATCAGGATCTCCAAATGGAGTTGTTCAGCCCGATTTTCATTTCTCGGCTTCACTGTCAGCCCCTTCACTACAAGGTTTGAGTCCGTGGCCAGTTAGTCTCGCTGTCGCAGCGGGCTTTGTGGCACGGACTGACAGCAGATGCTCTGCAGAATCCTTTTCCACTAGACATCAGCCGACGCAGCTTTCACACGGTTACTTCCCTCCCCTCTCCCCTCACAACTTTTTTTTAAAAAAAAAAAAAAAAAAACAACAACAAAAAAAACCCCACAACCAACCAAACCACACTTCACAGCCTCATTATGCTTACTGGGAATGAACATTTTTAAATGAGAATTTCCCTAAGCCAGAGGCCCAGAAATAATTTGTTGAGGACGTCCAGCTGAGCTGATGAACAGAGGCTTTTGGGGTTTTTAAAGGTTTTGTCAGAGCCACAAACTGCTCCTTTTACCTTGACAACCAAATAATCACAGCAATGGAGAAAGCTTGCAAGGGTTATTTGGGCTGCAAACAAGCAACAAGGTTTGCCTTAACACCTCCTTGGCCCCCAGTTTTGCATCTTGTTTCCTGATTGCCTGCATCAGGATGCAATTATACAATTACCTCCTATTTCATTCAGTTAAAAGGTCATGATTATCAGCTGCTCTGGGCAGGCACTCGATAATATCCCCACCCAGCGCATGGATGCACAAGTTTGTGCGGTGACTCATGAAAGCCTGATGATGCTGGTGCTCTCCACCTTCCCAGTGGTGAAACCACAGGGAAAGCTGGATGCCCTTCCATCACCTGAGCCTCTGGGATAAAGCAGTCAAAATTCCAAACCCGAAACATTCACGGATCAGCCATCTCTGCACTTCAACAGTTTTGCTGTTTATAAAAGTCTTTAAAAAAAAACCCAATATATATATAATGCAAAGACTCCCATTCAGCACCATTAACTTGTGGCGATCCTCCACACCAGCAGCAAACCTGTTGTTTCACTACAGAAACCAGTTTCTGCACACCCAGGTGGGAATCTCTTAAAACACATCGGCTGTACTTTGCAGTAGGTGGAAAGAAGAGGCACACATCAATAGGAACAAGGGAATCAAGGCTTCTAGATTCTGCTTTATCAGTGACATTTGGATCAGCCCCCGCATGTACTAATCAAAGCCCACCCCGATTCGTGAAAGATCAATGCTAGCTCTGTGGGGTAACAGAGTGCTCGGTGGCTTTCCCTCTGCAAACGTGGAGGGAAAGGGGAAGGAGGGTCAAGAGCAGCAAGAAATAAGAACTTTGTGCTCACACCTTGCAAAGACTGACTGCCCCATGGCTTTTGAGCCTGAAAACACACCAGGCTGCCTTGCCCAGGCCCTGGGTTGGAGTGGCAGGCCACCACAGAGACCTGATGAGGTTCACCTATCATTTTCAGATCTACCTCCTCTTAAAAAAAAACAAAACAAAAAAATCCCAAAACAAAACAAACAAACAAAAAAAAAAACAACAACAACACACAACAAACCAGCCACTCCTCTTCCCACCACCTCTGTTCTCCAAGGGGGACTCATCATCCACCCCCCTGGAAGTCTTCCATACCACCAGAGCATGGAGAGACGAGGGCACTGATCCCCAAACTCAGGCACTCACTTCTGCAGATCTGCGATTAAAATCCTCATGTCAGATCAATTGCGGGGCAAGAGCAAAGAGTGGGAGAAGCACTTTACCACCCCAGGATCTGTAAAATTCTTGCGTAGACGCAGGGTATGACAACTCTTGTCTGAGGGTTTCTTGGTTAACACCAAAAAAAATCCACATCTTATCTCAGAAAGAATTGCTGTGCTATAATATAATCTCTTTTCCAGGTAAATACAAAGTACAAAGCCAGTTTGTGCAAGCCAAGCCATTTAAACAAGCAGTCAGATGCCTTTTCTTCCCCTTCCTCCCCAGGGATTACAGGGCTCCTCCTGCCAGCACCACCAGAAATCCCAACAGCCACAACCCCACCTTTCGAGCATCCGTCCCCGCTACCCCGGAAACTGCTCAACGTCACACCCTGGCTCACCGTCAGTATTTAGGAACACGCGAAGCGCAAGGCTGGAAGCAAGCCAGAAAGCTGCTAAAGCACAAGCTGTCGGCAGTACCTTCTCCTAAATCCTCTGCAAAATCCTGCAAAGAAGCGCTCGCATTAACTGCCTTCATCACTGTCCGTGAGAGTTCCTCCCCAAAATTTAACTGAGAAAGACTCCTCTGCAGACACAACAACTCAGCTATTCTTACACTGTGGTTTACAACCTCCCTCTCTGAAGAGAAACCATTCTGTTATTCGGTTTTACCCCCTCTCATGCCCCTGTTTCCCCAGACACCTCCCATTACATTGCCTTCAACTGGAATAAGCACTTTTTTTTTCCACTCAGCTCTGCCTCTGCAAAACCAGACGGCTGCAAACCCTTGAGGTTTGTGGCATTTGCTAATAGCTCTCCCATCCTGCCTGCTCTGTCGATCACAGGTCTTCAGTGAGCCAGCAGCAACCACGGGGACCCATCGATTACTTTGTCCTTTAAGACCAACCATTCGCAGCGTTACCCGGTATTTGGCAGGTGGCATCCTTACAGAGCTGCAAAATCCTGACACGACGTCAGATGTTCGGCTGATGTCTGTAAGGTGACAGGGTTATTGTGACAAGGCAGATTGTCACACGGGCACGGCACGGCTAGAGACACAATTAAATGCTTCGGCACTAAGCTCGTGGGTCACAGCGAGATGTACAACAGCCCAGGTGATTTATTGCTCCTTCCTCCTGACCCCGTCTCTGGCATTGCAAGGTTGATGCTTTCAGGGGGACGGTAGGGAAGCAGTGACTCAGTAGTGTAGCGCTTTCTTTTCCCTGCTAAGCTGAATCCTGCAAGTTTTTAAACATTTGCTTCCCACTGCCTGGTAGGATCCTGTTGCCTGCAACATACAATCAACTCTCCCTCTTGTTCCCCTGACTGACAGCTACAAGTGATATTAAAACTCGAGTTCAGAAGCCAGAATTTAGTCATTAACCCCACTGCTGCTGTTTAACTCTGTCACCGAGGATCCAATTCAAAATCATGACATTTGGACATCACTTTTCTGCCAAAAATCACACCATAAGTTACCTACAACATGTTCCTCCTTGCATGCAAAACTAGACTAGAGCATAAAATCCAGCATGAGAGAGGTCTGTATTTGCTAGTTTAGTTCAACACTTTCAGTTAGTTTAGTACTGGCGACCCAGGCACAACTTTATTTGTCACCTCTATACTGAAGTAGCCTCTGTCCACGTAGTCTCCCAGGAAGAGGTAGCGGGTGTTATTGGGTGATCCTCCAACTTCAAACAACTTCATCAGGTCAAAAAACTGCCCATGAATGTCACCGCACACTAGGGGAGGAAGAACAGCACAAAAGAGGGACAGAATTACATGCTAAGAAAAGAAAGGTCATGACAGCAACAAGGAGCATAGCGTGGCTGTGCTCTGACCCAAGCCACCCCTGCTTTACATCCAGCTTCTGCAAAGATGTACTCGATCTACACCACTAAAATCCTCTCTTCTGAGAGTTCAGGCAATTTAAAAAACCTTGCTGATAGAAGGAACACAGCAGAAAACCTGCTACTTCAGGCAGCTTGTGTTTCCTAGATGGCTCTTATTTAGGACTCCAGCCACAGAAAGCTCTCTGACCTGTGATCGGAGCCTCCACTTCAATCATTGTCTTCTCGTGCCTAAGGATGGCAGCCCCATCATTGATGATCTTCAGCGCCGCATCCTCTTCCAGGCGTCCTTCCTTCACCAAGTGGCTCTTCAAGACGTCAAGCCTAGGCTTCCCATCCTCAAACACCTCCTTCAGAGTGAGCCGCTGCGTGGGAGGAAACGGGACAGCTGGAAATGGAAGTGAAGAAGTTAGCAACACGTCTCTTTTCGGAGGGGAAAAGAATTACAGTCTTTTCAGCAGGAGGCTTTCGTTCCAAGCCTCAAGACGGGCATACACTCAGAAACATACTTTCAGTGAAATTATGCTCTCAAATAGCGCAAGAAGAAAAGCGATGCTGCCAAAGCAGCTGAATACACCCCTCAGCATGTTTAAAAAGCCACCGTATGCAGACTAAATGCCATATGTATCCGCAGAAAATGCAGGCACCAAAGCTGTCTCCTAATTCGGTGGAGATAGTTGTCATCATAATGTTGCACTAAAACAGGACTGCATGCAAATATCAGCAAAAGCAGGAGAAAAACACACCGGTTCCCAGGAACTGGCAATTAAGGTAGGAGGACCAATATGTAAAATTCTTGCTTATCAGGAAACCGCACATACCAGGGAAGCAGAAGCTGCCTTTACCAGGCAACAGCCTCGCACCTCTTGGTACGGGCCACTTCAAAAAGCTTAACCCCAAGCTTAGTAATTGGTAAAACCTGACGGAATCCAACATTTAAAGCAAGTTAACGCCTCATCTGTTTGCAACACACCCCCTGGTTTTTAACTCTAGATAGAAAAACACGCCATCAAAAGCCGCTATTATTATTTTCATACTAGGCAATCGTATTACTTGTGAGAAGGTGACCTCTAGCAGAAAGGAAACATACTAAACAAAAATATAGTTCCAAGTGAGAACCATCTGACTTCTTCACCTACCTTCTCTTGGGCCTGGTTAATTTAAAAAAGAAAAAGATGGGGAACACATGACCCCTGCATGGTATTTAGGGGCTACATAGTGTCTTGGTACAAAAGAAATTCCAGGAAGGAGGCCCAGATGTTTGGGAAAAAGAGAAAAACTGCAAGTAAAATCCTGTCAAACAGCCCCAAATGCGTGGCCCAGCTCCTGGCTGCTCCCATGAACCACAGAGCAATTTGCATCTTATCGCCGCGATGCAGCGCAGAGACCGTCTCAGGTCCCCGCGTCCATTTCCTTCTCAAAACATCTCAAATAACCAGCATCTCCTCAGCCCTCTGGGTTCAGCCCTTTCAACACCCCCGGGTCACAGCAGGACCCAATCGGTTACGACCAAACCCTGCCGAGGGAGCGATCCTGCAGTGTGGACGAGATGCTGGGATGGGTTTTGCTTTGGGGCGCTCCGCTCAGCGGCATGCACAGCCCCAAGAAAAGCCTCTTCCCCCGGTGCAGGTACCGCAGGGAGCTGCCGCTCGCCCTCCCGGCCTTGGGGACACGGCACACCTCTGCAAAATGTCTTGGAGGCACTGCTGTCCGTAAGAACTTGGGCAGCCGGAGAGACCGCCTGATCTTTGCTGGGCATCCCCCCGACTACCCCAAAATTTGGAAGGCAAATGGGCCTTTAACAACCATTTTAATGATGCTGGTGCCAGCCTGCTTCTGAGTAAGCAGTACCTCCAACACACCCCACGTGTAACGAAACCCACTCACTAGATAATGTACCATCACTGCCACATCTCCTGCTTCTGATGTGATCATGTCATGTGGTGAAAGACAGATTTGCACTTAACTATAATCCAGATAGAGAAGAAAAATATCTGATATGCAAATGAAGTTGATGTCCTTACCCATCACCCAGTAAAGACATCCCATATGCCAAAGTATGTTGAATTTAACAGGCGAAGCAATAGTGCTGGTCAAATAATACAGTGACTAACAGTAATGCAAGCGATCTCTTTTAAATGCAAATAGAGCAGCTATTTAGCTTGGAAACCCAGGGGCCAGAGAGAAAAAGCAGAGAGGCAGCACAAGAGATTCTTTGCAGCTGAACATTGGGTTTCAAATAATGTGAAATGTAGGACAGAGGAGAACGGGAGCGGATATAATGAAAGGGGAGCCGGTGTCTGCAATAAGGTGGCCCTCTTTCATCGGTCGCTTTGGAAGTTTTGCTCTGCTGGGTACTCGCTAAGTGCCCTGCGTGCCTTGAACGGTCCAGGGCACACGCAGCGCTTTCCCCACGGAGCCGCCAATTAAAAAAGGTTTAAGCAAGACCCCTGCTTATACCAACACAGGCTGGACAACATTTTTTTACTGTATATATAGCTCATCTCTACATTCAGAAGGAAAAAAAAAAAAAAAAAAAAAAAAAAGACACCCCTCAGGTTATCAATGAAAACCTCAACATTTTGCAGAATCTTGCATGTTTTCCCCCCCCTCCCCACACCCTCTGGATCTGTGGAAGGATGGCAGTTTGCACTGGAGGAGGAGACAGAAGGAAGCTGCAGGTCTGACATGAAAAGGTTCAGCTGGAACAAGGGAGGCCAAAAGGAGCTGGGTGGAAGTGTGGGCACGGGACTCAAGAGTGAGAGAGGCTTTGGGACTCCCTGCCATTAAGTGACTGGAAAACAATTTGTAAGTACTTCTACAAACTGGGCAGTTGTCCTAGCATCTGCCATCTGACTCCAAAAGAAGCAAGAGAGTACTTGAAGGTCAAACGATTTATAAGGAAGAGAACGGAGAAATATAAACTGTTCAGCGCCATACTCCCCATGATCCCAGGCCTTCAAAGACAGCCACCGACTCCAGAGCCACAGAACCTGGGACCAAAAGCTTAATGGAGATGGCATGCAACCACAGGAGCAGCACTGCCCGTCACACAATTCAGAAGAGATCCACGAAGAGCTCCTGGCATGGTGTGCTTTGCCTTTTCTTGGTAGCCCTAGCGAGCAGAGTTATGCAAGATAAAATATGAGGCTACACCGATGTGAGCAGCCAAGAACTTTTATGTAAGTTCCCTCGCTGGCTTTGCACGGCTCCACTCCCACAAGGAGCTGGGCACGATAAGGAACCGGCTTCTCCTCTGCCAAGCTGCAGCCAGCATGGAGCAGAGGGAGAAAAACCTGCTCCAGAGATGCCAGAGACACCAGCACCGTCCTGGGGATGCACACACACAGCAAAGACCTATTCCACATCCCCTGTTTTCTACCTGCTGTGCTTCCTGCTAACCCACCCCCAAAACCAACCCTCAATTCCCCCGAGCCGGTTATGCAGTGCTGGAGCAGGGACACTTGTGCCCTGGTGCACCCAGAGCTGTTGAGCATTTCAAAAGCTTCATGAGGGTTGCGTGAAAAAAATCCTCCACGCTCCAGTGGCGAGAAGCATTCACTGAAGCCCTAGTGCTGGGAAAACCAAAACCCAGCAATGCCCATTTCCCCCATGCAGCAGGGGATGAGGATGAGTACTTAAGTAATTAGTACTGTCAAAGCAAGTAATCCTGTTAGCCAGTATAACTTGTGTAAGGGCTTTAGTCGACCCTGTGCAAGTGGTTATCTGATGCACAAACATCCACTTTTTTAAAGATCTGAATTTTATCCTGTTTTAATGCCCAATTCTGTTGGAGTGACCAGCACAGCAGGAGGGTGTGGGGCAAGGGGGCTCCTCCTGCAGCCAGCCTGGGCTCACATTCAGCAGAACATGCTGGCACGGCTGTCAGAGCAAAAGCTGACTTGTAATTTTGCTTCCCCCAGGGTACTGAGAAGGGTGGAAGAATCTTGCCCACTTCCTGCTCCTGCCTGCAAAATGGGGAAATAACGCCTTATCTCACACAAAAAAATGCTGTGGCTAGTCACAGAGTGCCCGAGCAGCACAAAGACACAGTGTGCTAAGCTTGTCCTCAGAGCCAGCTCCTTCCGTGCACAGCCCACAGACAATAATCAACAAAAATGATGGATAAAACGTGCACAACATTGCAAGAGGCAAATGCTGTGATCTTCATGCCATCTTCTCCTTGTATACAAAACCACGTGTTGCACCCAGCCTAGTTTTAATAGCAAAATCTTTAGGTTCGGAGCTTAGAATTTTGCAAGGGCATTAAAAACACACTGTAGATTGCTCCTGAGAAAAGACCACAATCCCCACTCTACTAAGAGGATGTATGCTGCACACCAAGCCACAAACAAACGGACACAAGTGCAAGTGAACTTTTGAGGTGTAAAATGGATTAAAAGGTCAGCTGTGCTCAAGGGACTTTGGTAAAATGAAGATAGGGATATCTTTGCTAGATTACGGTATAAAACTCCATTAGCTGCAAGATTAACACAGGTTTTATTTGCCAGTCCAGGAGCAAGTGGGTATTTGCAGCACTCTCTATTGTTAAGGATGGGAGAATTTGACAAAAAAAAACGCTTCTCTCCCACCAACTCTAAACCCAGAGCATCACAGCCCATTCAGCTGCCCCTCGGTGCAAAAAGACTATATTCCTCCAGGAAAAAAGCACGTGTTTAATTTCTACATCCATACTTAAAGTATGCCCCTATTAAGCTTCATCACAGCTTGAGTCGGACCACGTAATCCATCAGGCATCTTCCTAAGAGAGCAGTTCAAACAAAGCAAAGATCCTCTCCTCCCAGGACTAGAGGCAGTAGCAGCAGACAGAGCGGGGCTGAGCGATCCACTCCTCCAGAAAGAGCCAGTGCCGTGGAAGAGAAAACAAAGCGATCCTCAAATTATTGTTTATATATCTGAGAGTCCCTCGGATGACTGTACAAAGCAACAAAGTGAGATTCTTCACTGAAAAAGGAGCAAGTGCTGTTTGCCTGATGTGGCAAAACTCAGTTTGCTCCCCGAGTGGTTGGGTCCCTATGGAGAAGGAGGTGTCCTCTCACACCGGGGCGTGGGGGGCTTCAGGTCCAAAAATTCACCCAGGATTAAACACGCCCGATAACAAACTTGAGAGATATTTCTCTGCAACTGCTGACACCCACCTGGGAGTGAATCTGAAGGGCACTGAATGCAACAGCCCTTTTCCCTGCTTGCTTCTCATCAAATGAATTATATTACAGATAGATAGTTGAACAGATGGTTACAGATGCACTTTGGGGAGAAAAAAAAAAAAAAAAAAAGAAAAGAGTACATTTTGGGCATTCTGAAGCAGCCAGTACAGCTCAGACAAAACTAAGCGCAAGTAAAAGCTGTCTTTTCTTACGCTCAGAC